AATTAAATGACATAAATGCTCTAATAGTACACGTAAGTTAGTGGTTTATTTATTGTTAGTTGCTGTAATGTTGCGCTGCTTTATTTGGTTAATCGTTGGTTGAGTTCAAGGTCAAACTGGTTTGTTCGACTTTCAAGAAATTCGAGTTCGATTAAGTTCGAGAACCGAGGTACCACTGTATAAGCAAAGGAAAAATTGAAGCCTTAACTTAAAGTCAGTATATTGGTAGCAAAGAAATTTGCTAATGCATAAATATTGTAAATCACAATTAAAATGATCTCCAGCTAATTGGCACTATGAAGTAGATCACTGCAGAATGATCTCAGACCACATCTTCAAAAATAATCACTGGAACTGCAATACAATTTTCAAAGGGAGCCATTTTCTCCAGATTTACATTATTCATGAAATGCAGGTGTCATTGACAAATTTGTGCTGCTGGATAAATGTTTATTCGCTTATAAAGACAAAACAAATTCTACTGCTCTAACACATAGACAACAGGGCAGCCATGCAATTAAGGTCAATTGATTCCCAGAGGAGATAACCTGGATGGCAGCCAGTTTGGCAAAAGAGGAGGGCTAAAGGGGATTCAGATGGCATGCAGAGCCGAGGGCATTTCATCAACAGGCAGCAGAGGGCTGCTGGATGAGCACCAAAGAGTTGCAGGTTCAAACACCACAAAGAAAGCAATCGATCGCCAGCGGCTTCAGTGAAGATGCCTGGCCTGTAAAAACAACCACAGTGCGAAGTGGAACTGACATTTCCACCTTTATGAAAAAGTCCACTAGTAATAACTACAACTATTAAAGAGAGACTAAGTCATGTGTTGTTTAAGTCAAAAAAGACTAATGAGTACTCAAAGTGAGCTGACAGTGTCATGCCTGAGCTTCGGACATAATACAACGACTGATGACCAAGAGTGTGTTCAGGCTGGCAAGCAGGAATAACCTCATTCTTTTAAAGCATTTCAGGTTATTTATTACATGTATATCAAAATATTCTGGAGCAACCAATTATACCAAGAATAAATTTATCAACCAGATTCCAAACTTATACACGTTGTGCTTATTTCTTCTGAAGTAATCAAATGCAATAAAACCACAGAGTCCAAATAAAGACTAGAAACAAAATTTCATCTGCTGACTCAAGTACAATGACTAGAAATCCAATGCAGCAGAAAAACATTAAGCACTTTCTCTCATACAAAGCAGGAGACGAGACGACGCAACTCCGAGGGACGGGGAGGGAATCATGCCGACGCGACTCCGAGGGACGGGGAGGGAATCATGCCGTTCACATGATATAACTCAGAAGGACGGGACCAAGCCAACGCAACTTTGATGTGACTGAAGGATGCGATCACATAGACATAATTAAGACAGAGCAGTAAGCTGCCTTCTGTATTAGTAATTAGACTTGCGCATGAATAATCTGCTACTCTACATTTGCTCGATGTTCCTCATGTTTCACATCTGATCTGCACCCTAATTGATTTCAGGAAGTGAGACAAAGGAGACCCCTGAAAGCTCC